TCGACTAAGCCAACCGTAGGTTACACGAGAAATAGAATTGTGGAGCGACTGACTCGCCGTAACGCCCGATTTCAATATGATAATCCAAAGTCAGAAATACAAGCTGTGCCATTATTAATTAAAATATTTCCACAATGTAGATCACGATGAATTAAACCTTCCTTATGAATAATTTTCAGGCCATTTGCAATATTAGCAAGAATTGGCAATTTATCTTCAAGCCATTTCATCTGATTAAAATTTTTGGACAAATATTTTAGCAAATCACTATCATTTGCAAATTGTATTACGAGCATATATTCCTCAGTAGTAGGACATTTAGTAAGACCATAACAGCGAAGGATTGGTGACATTTTAGTTTCATACCCAATTCTAGTTGAGTAAAAAGTTGTACTGCCTTTTATATGCATATGAAGCTAAAACATAAATGTCATTGTATTGTATAGATATAGTAGGCAAATGATAATTTTTAAGTTAAAAATATAATTACCTCCTTCAAATTTTCTGGTGAAATTCCACTTTTTAGTGCAACATGAATTTTTCCAATTCTTTTAAATTCATTTGTAAACATATAAAGTGGTCCTTGTATCCAAAATGCACTATAAATAGTTCCAAATCCACCCTGACAAATCTTTTCTATATTTTCAAACTGTTCATATGGAATCCATTCCACAAAGTCAATTGCAATTTTTGAATTCATCTGTGTTACTTTTATAATCTCATCAATTTTTTGATTTCCACTAGTCCAATTAATAAAATTATTTTCAAAATAAGTAGTTCCACATTCTTGACACCATGCAGAATAAGATTTTTTCTTTCGCACATATTGGGCATAAACTTATTAAATATGAAAAAATTTGAGCATTTGAAAGCCCGATTCTTAATTTTTTAAATACTAATGGTAAAACATAAATTAAAATCCAACCAACGGTCAATGATATTCCTATTATTGAAAGTATGTATGGAATTTTTTTTGTTCTAATCAAATAAAAGACATAATATCCTGCGAAATTAAAGTAACAGCATAATGTCTCCAAAAAATAAAATAGGGAAATAGTATGATAGAACAATTGGTTTGAACCAGATGGAAAAATAGAAAATCTGTACTTATTAGCGTCAAAAGAAAGAAAGATTACCCAAGTAAATCTTGTGTAAGCAAATGCATAAAAAAGCGACATCCCTCTTGTTACCGCTGGAATAAAAGGATTATATGTTAACCAATTAAAAAGATAATATGTACCAATAAATATAATAAAAGCTATTGTTGTAAAAACTATGCAAAACTTTGGATATAATAGTATTAATCGCTTATGAACCAAAAATATTTCTTTTAATTTTAAAAGTATTCTTCTGGAAGGGAAAAAAATGATTATGTAACAGTAGCAAAAAATAGGATACGTCACTGATAAAAATTCATAAAGACCAGGATATAAAAACAGAAAGTTTAGAAATAAAGGAAGTGATACTAGAATAATAAACTTATATGAGAGTATGAATATATTTTTCGAAAATATCCAAATTTTTCTAATAATTTTAGTCATAGTTTCAAAATTATACTGTATCAATAAACCTTTTCATCTACCCCACTAAAATATTTCTTTGCCGGACTATAGACCTATTGATGTGCCACGCAGTACTGTACGCGAAAATTTTTGCCGATCCTTTCTACCAGCCAATAAAATTGCTAGATACGCACTGTACATAACATACTGTACGCGAAAAAAATTTGGGTATCATATAAATGGCACATCCTATGTGGATTATTTCCAAAAAAGAAAATGATCAGACGTAAAAACAGTTTATTTATTGTTATTTATTGTTATTTATTGTTATTTGTGCTTGCGCTATATGCACAGATGATTAAATTTGTCGACTTTTGATTCCACAATTAGATGTATGCATCTTTACATAAACTTGTCGAATTTATCAAAAATATGTATAATAAAATATTTTTATTTCTGATAAATTTTCACATGGCTATATTTATTCATGCGTTTGTTATACAGATCATCCCTCTCTATAGTCACCTTCTCTTAGTCACAGCATCAATATAATCAAATTTTTTTTACCAATCTTTTTTATATTATTTGTATCTATATATATGCACAATACCTTATATTCACTATCATGTTTTTTGTTAACCAATTATATAACTTCTATATAAATTACCTTCTATACAATTATTTATAAATATAATAAGATAGCTGCATAATGTTGGCTCGCAAAACCAGGAATGGACTATCGGTATTGCATTTAGTTAATATATCGGTTGTTGCACTATTGGGCATGTGTAGTGATGTGCTATATATATAGTACACTATGTACTATACGTAACAGTATTTCTGAACGACTGCGCAGTGTGACTTTTAGAATTCAGGCTAGCTAGCATAATTCTGGCCAGCTAGTATAATTCTGGTCAGCTTGCACAATGTTGCAGGCTGCGCAGTGGCTCATTCCTAACTGTAGCTGATCCTTTCTAAGGTAGACAGTAAAGTAGTACTGTATGATTATATAAATATGAACGGACGTACTAAAATTTTGATAGTAGCGGTAGGTACGGTTAACATAGGCGTGTAAAATTAATTTTTATAAGTCCATTATCCCTTTGGCACAAATCATAATTATTTAGCCAATGCTTAATCGTCACATCTTCATGCCAAATGAAAGAGGAGACCTAATCCTTTACAACTAAACCCATTTTTATGTTTAGGATTAGGGCAAGTGCGAGCATTGTTCTTTTTTCGTATGAGGTTATAGGAAAATTAGCTTTTTTTGAAATAATATATATATATATTTTTTTATAAATCGTACATACTTATAGTTAGTGGTAGAATTGATTTTGAAAATTATCGAATTACGGCACGTGCCGTATTTTTTTGCCGTAATTATAAATACGGATCCAAAATAAGCATATCGACCAAAAGCCTGGATCGGAAACAGGTCATATTAAGTATACCGAAACGTTCCGATGTATACTGACCCAGAATTTTGGTCGATATGCTTAATTTTGGATCCGTTGTGAGCGGTAGGATGGTGACGTCGGAGGCTCGTTGAAGCAGGAGATCGGTGTGGCACAGTAATGGACCGACGG